CAGCATTTTATTTACCTAAAGCAAATAGGTTGCTATTTAATATTGACTATTTTATTAACCCAGAGCATCTGGGAAAACACTTATGATTAGGTTAATTTATGTTATATTTTCCCCTCAACTTGTAAAAGATTAATCAACCATTTTATGGTCTAATTTAGGTGCCTAATTGAAAACAGAGTCCAACACATGCTACACTGTCTTGCTAATAAATCTTGACAGCTTTGTAACAAGATGGTTTGTATTTCAAATTGTTGCATATAAATGTAGATTTCTGATCTTCACTCAGCAGCTTGAAGTGAGCTGCATATTTGATTTAAACTCGTGGAATGAAAAAATGCAATTACTTCAAAAAAGATTATCCCCAATCAGGTCTTATCTTAAAGTTCCCTTAGGGAAGACAGAAACAGTCTTGGCCACCAAGTTTCTGAAAACAGACTAGATAAAGAGGGGAGAAATTAGTTTTCTCAGCATTTGTTAAATTTAAAATGTAGGGAAAGTTGCTATTTTCAGTTATAAGCTTTCCAGACAGAGATTTCTGAAGTTACTGCGTTTTAGATTCTAAAACTAAAGCACTCTACTCAAAATGTAAGTTTTGTAATGGTCTTCTGGTTAAGAAGTCCATGTTTTCAGTCTTGATTTGAAGCACTGTACTTTTTTAAATGAATAAATTCATTCCAGGAGTTTCTGGAACATCTCATTTAACCCTGTGTTCTCCCACGTCTCCCAGCCTTAAAAGAGGACAAATGGAGGAGAATAAATTTACTCTCAGTGGGGACACTTGCCATGTTTTCTCAGTCTTTATGCTTGGGGATATTTTTGTCATTTTAATGACTCCATTGATTCTGTCTGGTGCAGGCAGAGAAAGGAAACTGCTCGGGTAATGTAATTACCCTCACTCTGGTTATAAACCAACTTTGGACGTCCTTACTATTACTGTCCAGTTCTGGAACTGGTCTTCTTTTACGCTGAATGACAAAGTGAGCAACCCTCATTGAGGTCACTGGAGGTACAACAGAAAACTCAAACCCTTAAAAAAAAACACAAAACTCAGCAACTCAGTTAGGAATTCATCATATATGACCAATGTCACGTTTTGTCACTTAAACAAGGGAGAATGGCACAGAGTGACCTCTGGAGCAGCACTGCCTGGGTTGGTGTATCAGCTTTGCCACTTTCTAGCTGTGAGACCTCGGGCCAGTGTCTTAACCTCTCTGTGCCTGTGTTTCCTCATCTGCAAAAGTACAGACTTCCCAGGATCATGATGAGGATTAAATTTGCTAATCCTGTAAAACCTGACACAGGTCCTAGCACATAGGGAAAATATTCAGTAAGTGTTAGCTGCCAACCTTAGTAAACTACACAGACACACAGACACACACACTGCACTTTTGTTTAAATGTGGCCACAGCATTAAAGTGTCAGTTTAGTTTTTATAGCCAAATATGGAAAGAAGAGTCTAGGTGGAAAGTCTAAGGAATATTTCTATATATTAAAAAAAGAAATAGTTACACCATATTTGGCTAACTTAAATCCCAAACTGAGGTCATTCAAATTTGTGACAATCTACGAAGCCTAAGCCAAATCAAAAAGAAAAACTTATTAAAGAATGTATATACTTAATTTTGGGCTTCCCTGGTGGCTCAGATGATAAAGAATCTGCCTGGATGAGGACGATTCCCTGGAGAAGGAAATGGCTACCGACTCTAGTATTCCTGCCTGGGAAATCCCATGGACAGAGGAGCCTGGAGGGTTACAGTCCATGGGGTTGCAAAGAGCCAGACAGGGCTGACCGACTGGTCACAGTTTAAATCAATGTTGAAAGCCTAAATGTACCATCTTGGCAAGTATGAGGTTCTCTTGAACCACCTGTCTCTGTTTTTCAAACACTATCACCCCCTGCAACAGAAGGTAAGGGCGTTTCACCAGAAGTCCTGCTAAGCCCCTCCCGTGGGATCCTCATAAGTACCTGCTAAATTAGGGAGGCCAAATTCAAGAGTAAGCTGAGTGATGAACTGGAAAAGTAAACCCAGAAGAGTCTGCATCCCCGACTAAAACAAACTCTGAGGTTGAAGGGCAGCAGTGAAGAAAGCGGTGACTAAGCACGCACCGCACGAACGACGTGGCAAACTTCCCGACCTCTGGCAGATGGCAGGTCAGCTCCGCATCGCCACCACTGTGGGCTCCATCCCACCACGATCCCGCCTGTTGGGGCTGACGGTGTCTCATTTTGCCACGTGAAAGGAACTACAATCAACTTGGGAGCCTTCAAGCAAATCTGCCTAGGCCTTGGGTTACCGGTTAGGCCGGCACCCGGGCTGTGTATCAATCCCTGAAATTTACTAACCGCTAGCTCATACTCAGGCAGAATCTCCTTCTCCAACCCATGACCGATGTTGACCCTTGGATTCAACCATCCATCCTTGCCTTCAGAATGTCTCCCCTGTTTCCTATTTTCCAGCTTTGAGGATTTGTTTTAACTACTTGTTTCTGAACTGAAACGCTGGCTAATTATTATTTATACTCTTCTTCAATCTAGTGTCTGATGGCATAGACGGAGCCGAGCAGAGCTCCTCTAGCTAGCAGCAGACTGGGGCCCGCGGACAGAACTCCGAGAGGCAGGGCAAGAAGAGGGGCTTACTCCCTGGACACCGATTTTAGGAAAAGCCTTCTGGGTTAGGCTTCTTCTCCCGGTGTGGTCGGTTTCTCAAGTTAAAACGGCCGCCTTCAAAATAATTAAGTCCACACATTTGCGCAGATATTCAGAATATTCCAAGTTAATTTAAAAGTTGTAAGTAAGCAGATGGCATTGAAAAGATTCCTTAATTCACTAACCCTGCGGCCACGCCCCGCGCGAATCGAGGCAGCCCTGGAACCCAGCTTTAGGGGTGAGCTGCGACGTTTAGAGGTCGCTCCTCGCGCCGCGGGGTCATCGCCGCGAGCGCTGGGCCTCCGGGCCGGACAGTTTGGCCCATCAGTGTAGCGAGGTGACTGTGGGGGGGAGAAGGCACTTCCCGCCCGCCCCCTCTACCCCCTCCCGCCCCGAGGCCCGGCGAAGCCCCCGCGCCCCCCAAGTCCAGCCGCCCCGGGGGCCACGATACGAGCGGCTGCAGGCGCGCGGCCAGCCTTTCCAGGGCGACTTCGTTCTTTATTCAGCAGTTTGAGTCAATCAAAAGGAACGTGGCAGGTGGAGGGCGGCCGCCCAGGAGCCTGCGCGAGTCTTCCTGTGGGGATTTCCACTGCCTGCCCAGGTGCTGCTGGAACCGCCCGACATTAAGGATTCATTTCCTTTCCTGCCAGTTCCTCCCAGCCCGGCCCCCGACGCGTCTGATCTCCGAAAACGCCAGACTGCCTCTGGACTCCGATGGGTTCTACCTGGAGGGCGCTAGTAACTAGCCTGCCAGTCCGGGCTCCCGGAATCGTTATCCCCCAGGAGGAGGCGCGGTGGTGGCTGGAATAATGACAACAATACAGTCGATGACAATAGCCGGCAATTAGCGCGGCCCCCATCTGCCAGCCAGGCACCCGCACGCGCCGGCGCAGTCGCTCCTCCGCGCGCCACCCGGAGCGCAGGTGAGGGCGCCGAGGACCCCTGCTAGCTGCCGGGGTCGGGACGAGCATCCAGGCGCCGGGCTCCAGAGCCACCATTCGCAACAACCGGTGTCCAGGGCTTGGGGACGGTGGGAAGGGTGACAGTCACGGCTGGCTAAACCTCGAGATTTGGGCAACTCCTGACAATAATAAAAATGTTAGGACAAAAGGGAGGGGGAGGGCGAGGCTGGGGAGAGAGCGGTTTTAATCCGCTCGGCCAGCCCCCTTTTATCTTTCGAGCTCTCCCGGTCCCCAAAGAGGGGATGGGGGCAGGGATGGGGTTTGGTTCGATTCTCCTGTTTTCCGAAATCTCCAGCCTCTTGCAGGCTGATTGGGCCTGGAGCGGTGCCGGCGAGTCAAGGGAGTTTTGTTTGTGGGGGTCTGAGGTAGTGACCGGGGAGAAGGGCCGGACCTCTGGTTGGCGACGAGACTTCCCGAGGCTGGAGTCTGAACCCCTTGCTCACCCGAGCCTCACCGGAAACTCAACCAACCCAACAGCTCACCCCCAAAGACTGCGGGAGACCTTGGTAAGAGGTCGTGATTATGACTCCCGGAGGGAGGTGGGGGACAATGTCCCTTTGGAACCGCACCCATAACCCGACCCGAGAACCGAGTTTACGGAAGCCCACGCAACCCGCATTTCTCAAATCCACGCACCCAGAATATTCTTTGCACCCCGGCGCGTCAAGGGTCCGCGGAGACACTCGTCCCTCCCCCGGGTCTCTCAGCGCCCGGGCCGGGGAGGCGGAAACCGGTGGGCCGTGCCCCCGGCGCCGGGAAGCCTTCAAAGCTGCGCGCCTCCCGTCGGCTGCAGTGCGCGCCTTTGCCCGACAGGGACCAGCACCGCTCCACGCGCCGCGCGCCTGCCCGCTCGCCCTCCGCAGCCCAGGCTGCCGGGCCGCGAGCGGTCTGACCCCCTTAGGAAAGTGAACGGACTCCCCGAGGCCTGCTCAGCACGGCGTCGCTCCCACCCCATCCCCATCCCCATCGGGACAGCAGAAGCTGCTCTAGAAGTTGGTCTGGGGCAGAGACCGTCCCGGATCCGAGAGGAAAAATAAAACACGAGATTCGTTTGGGAGGCGGCCACCGTTAGAGGGTTGCGCGCTTTTCTGAGCACCTTCCCAGTGGCTGGCCTCCATCCTGAGGAAAGATCCCCGGATTAACCCCTGGGCACTGTGGGCCGCTGAGCCGCCAGATATTGTGGAGAAGTGTCTCCAGACTGGGGCGAGAGCGGAGCCCAGCGCACCCCGTACGGCGCTGTGGGGCAGCACCGCGCGGTCGTCGCTCGACTCCCCTTCCCGCCCGGGTGGTCTGAAGTTGTACCCCTGTCAGTTCCCTGGTGCATGCCACGTCCGCGTCCTCTCCCCGTCAGGATCGCGGCTGGAGCCCCTGGCCCTTCCCGGGACACTCACCGGTACCAGGCGAGGCCCTTGTCGTAGCTGCGGTCGAAAAAGTGGGGCTCTGCGCCCACGGCGCGCACGTCGGGGTGCACGCGCAGGAACTCCAGCAGCGCCCGCGTGCCGCCCTTCTTCACGCCGATGATGATGGCCTGCGGCAGCTGCTTGCTCCCGGACCCGCTGAAGAAGCTAGAGATGGGGCTGGGGGAGTCCGGCGTCTCGGGGCTCTGCTCCTCCTGGCTCGCGGCGCCTTCGGCCATCTCTCCGCCCGCAGCCGACTGGGTGGCTAGCGCCGCCGGGAACGGGAGCCTCTGGGGAGGCCCGTCGGGACCCGGGACCGGCGGGGCGTGGGCGGCGCGGGACCCGGAGCCCAGCAGCAGCAGCCCGGGCGCGGCGGCGCAGGAGCCGGCGCAAGAGTAGACGAGCAAGTAGAGCCAGACGCAGAGCATGGCGAACAGCAGCGCGAGCCTTCTCCTCACCGGCGGCGGGGGCGGCGGCGGCTGCGGCAGGAGCCGGCCGGGGACATCGAGGCAGGACCGGCCGCCGCTCAGGCTCTGCCCCATGCGCTGCCCGCGCGCGCAGCGAGGGTCATGGCTCAGCACATGGAGCAGGGCCCGCGGGAGCAGGGAGCGCGGCGAGAGTTCCCTGGACGCCGGGCGGTTCGGCTTATTGGCCCCGCGCGCCCGCGGTCGCCGCTGTTGCTCTGCCCCAGGTGGCGGCGGCAGCTGCACGGCCGGCGGCTTTTGACATGTTCCCGGGAGGAGCCACAACTGGAACGAAGGTCGGGTGGTGGCAACTGCCGGCCTGGGGCTGCGACGCCGCGCTCGGGGCCGGCAGAGTTCCGCCCTCCGGCGTCCCCACCCCTCCGGACTGTGCGCGCCGCACGGCCGCTCGCCGGGGCTGCCTCGTCGCGGTCCCGTGAACCGAGCTCTGAGCGCAGCCCCGGCGCTTCCCCCGCGGAGGCTGCGAAGGAGGACTGCGCAGGAAGAGCGCCGGAGACCGAGGCAGAGTGGGCGGGCCCGGCCACCGGGAGTGATGGGTCGCTCCACCTACCAGAAACCCGAGGCGCCATGCAAATCCCGCCGCTTAGCTGAGGGTTCGGCAGCCAACCAGCTCCCGGAACATGGGGGTGTGGAAAGGGTTTGGGGGCGGTGGAGAGCAATCGGGGGATTCTATTGGATGAGAGACAAGGGGCGGGCCTGGAGGGGCGGAACCAGGGGCTGGTGACAGGCGCAGCTGGGAGGAAGGATGCTGGGGAGACCTCGCACGCAGGCAAAGCACCGACCCTGCGATCCCTGCACCCCGCCGCCCGCGCGCACTTCCGCACTCGCTCCCGAGGAGCCGGGCTCGGCTGCATTTGCCCCTGTGTGCGGACACGCGTCCCCATGCAGATGGTTTGCGGGCGGGATCGTGGTGTGTGCGCGCGTTAGAAGTAGGGAAGGGGTGGAAGCGCGAGAGTCTGGCGGGAGATGCCAGCCCACCTCACGCCGGGACTTGGAGGGGGGCCCTTCCGGAACTGGCATGGTTTATGAAGTTTAAGTGGAAAACGCTGTCGAACTTTTTTCTTTTTTTTTTTTTTAAAGTCTTCTTACTCTTTGCTAGGAGTTGTTCTCTCCCGGGCAGCAGGTTAACGCGATCGATGGATCGTTAGATAGTTCCTGAGGAACTGTCCTTAAGAAAAATTCTTCCCTCGCTTCCCCAAGTGCTGGAGAAAGGTCGGGAGAAATTAACATGGAGTTAAAGGCTATGGGAATTTTTCCCGGCGCCGAAAAGTGAGTGTTAAAGTTTTGTGCGGATATGAGTTGTTGGGGGCGTTGGAAAACGTTCTCTTCCATTCCCATGAATAAATATCAAAGCCAACATTCGCCTGCATCAGAAGTCGGTTTGATTTGCTGACCTGTTACACCAAGTATTAGGTGTTTTTTCTATGCCAAAAGTCAACTCGGAGCAAATCGATCCCGGAGTTGCACTTAAAGTCCGCTCCAAGTCTCTTTCCAAGAGTTTCCTCCGTAGAGTGACCAGTCCCGGCCTGGCGGCGGCCTCGGTGCTGCATTGATGCGCCGCGTTCCGGTTGGAAGCTTCGGTTCTCCCCGGCGGCGCTCAGGAAGTTCTGGATGAGAAGACTCGGCCCCAGAGGGGTCAGCGGGCCTCCCACTCTTGGCCCCGCGTGGTTCCGGGACAGAACCTTCCTTCCGATCCCGACCTCCCCGCGGCCCCAGGCTGAGCGCGGCCCCCGCTGCCTTCCCAGTGCGCGCGGGCGGGCGGCGGAACCGCCGAGCCCCGGTCCCCCTGCCGCGCTGTCCCCTCCCGAGGAAGTTCCCCGAGTCCCGCAGTCTCGCCGCGGGTCCTGTTCCCCTCCGCCGGGAACACACCGAGGACGCCCCTCGGTCGTGAGCTTCTGAAGTTGGAAAGTCTGCTGGAGAGCGGGAGCGGCGACCCCGGAGGGTTCGGGTGACCCTGCGGCCCCCACCCGGCCCCCAGGCCCAGTTGTGCTACGGGCGACCTCCTGGTAACTCTGGAGCCCAAGACATTTTCTAATAGAGTGGCTGCGGGGGAAGTAATTTAGGAAGAAGATTCCTCCCCCCTTTTATATTCTCAGGGAAATTTTATTCCCAGCGCTCCTTTCCCCTCTCCGTCGGAAGTGACTTATCTCGCCTTACTTTTTAATTACATTAATTTATTACTAATTTATTTTAAAGTTCTGAAACATGAGAGTGTATTTCTGAGCATTAGCTTGGGCCAACTTTTTCCTTTTTTAAGCGAGAAGGAAAATCTTAGTGTCTCCGAAGCATTTCCTCAAATTCATATTATTTCGGGAAATGAAGTCACTGTATATTCTAGGCGGCTTTGAATTTGTGGACGTCTGTGGATTTGGGGGTGGGTGATAGTGGTTTATGGTTTGTGCGTGTTCACACGAATTGTAGCTACCACATGGCTAACTTTGGGCGTGGTTGGGTGTGAATGTTACAGTTTGTTTTTGGTTTTCTAAATCGATAATTCTAATTAAAAATGGTTCCTGTCCCGAGGGATCAGTGTAAAAGTCCAGTGTAAAAGAAGAAAAAAAAGTTCGCCGGATATATTTAGGATTTTTTTTTTCCGGGGGCGGAGGGAAAGAGGGGGTAGAAGCAAAGACTTGGGCATCGGAAATTGTCAGGAGAGCGCCGCGGAGCCGAGCGACCCCGGGCCAACTCGCCGCCGAAGCCAGCCGACCGCGTTCGATCCCACCGCCAAGCGAAGGGCCGCGCGCTGAGCTGATGTCCGCGGTGATCCTGGCCTGAGCAGCGCCCGGCGGGCAGTTCAGCCGGGCGGAGCAGCCCTGCCCCGCGACCCTGCTCTCTGACCCTTCTTCCCACTCGGCTGGTCAGCCCCAAAGAGCTCCCCGAAATCCCCGGGCGCGGCTGCCTCGGTCAAAGCCATCTCCCCACTTCGTCCCAATCAGCTGATGCGTAACCCGAGGTCAGCCTGCAAGGATCTGTCGGCGCGCCCGACCGTGAACCCAATTGGAGCTGCTGCCCTTAACCAGTGCTCAGCAGTCCTGGGTCCCCACGCCACGCGACCACCCAGATGCGAGAAAGGCCGCCCTTGGATACATTTATGCCTAAGTTTTGCCACCCCCGGGAAACCCAGAGAGGGGCGAATGGGATTTCAGCACACGTGGAAGGGCTGTTTTCTCTGGGTTGGTTTTTTGCGCTTACCTAATGGGGTGCTCACCTAGGACCACGGACGGTCTAACTTGGCAGGCAGCCTCTTCCCCTTAGAAACGCACAGACCGCCCCAGAGGTCACCTCCTGTCCCTCTTCACCTCCTGTTGCCTACTACCCTGTCGGCTCACCCTCTGGCTCTAAAACCCCCCATCTGTAAAGAAGGGGACCTGCGCCAAAGGATCCCCGTGGTCTTTTCCGCCTGAAGGTTCTCTGGTTCTGGGCTCCGGCCCCTGCCGCTCATCCCGCCCACCCTCCGGCTCCCCGGCCAGGCCCCCAGCTGCTTGCCGCAAAGGTCGCACTTCCTGGGCTGCCTGAGCTGGTGGCCCGGAGCCCGGTTCCTGTCAACGGAACCCGTGTCTCCTCCCTGCCCCGCAGCCAGACGACCCCGGAGTTGGCAGCTGCAAGCTCCCTCCACCCTATGCCCCGCTGCGCCCAGATGCCCGCCCGCAGGGGGGCGCTCCGACAGCTGCGGGATGGGGGCGGGGGTCGCGGCGCCCCAACTCCCAGGGGGCTGTCCCTGGCACGCCTCGGAGCCCCCCTGTCCTAGCGGAAAGCCCCAATCAGAGCTAAGGGCTAGAGGCAGGCTAGCAGACCGGCCATCAGAAACCCCTTGAAAGAGTGGCAGGAGGGAAACGGCCAAGTGGAAAGGCTTCCCAGGCTGCGCTCCAGCTGCACCTGGGGGACAATGTGTCTAGCGACCTCAGTTGGATCCATCACCCCGGCGCCGGGGCTCTGGCTGTCTGAGGTCCCAGGAGGACCCTCAGTACATCGCAGAAGAGAGATGACTGCTCCTGTCCTAAGGATAAAAGAACTCTGGTGCCCCAAAACACCAGAAAAGAACTCTGGTAGTTGATGTCCCGAGGAGTCATGGTCTTGTGCTGATTCCAGCTCCCTCCCCGTGGCCCCTGTGTTCTGGGTTTGCAGCTTCCCTTGTCCTCAGGCTTCCTCTGGGCCGGTCATCAAAGGCTGGCAGCTTCCCTCTTCTGCAAGACACAGCCCCTTCCAGGAAGTCCTCCTACACTGCCTTGCTTTCAGGTTCTGGAATGGCTGTCTGCTCACCTCTGCAGATCTAGGGCGGTGATGACACCTCCCCTTTCCAGCACCAAATACGTGCCTTCCCCAGGTTCTCCTTCGCCTCCAGCATCTTTGTAAGTGGTCCTTCCTGTGTGTTACTCAGGTGATGTCCCACAGCTTTCCTGCCAGGACCCTGACTTTCTCACTGTTAGTGTTAGTTGCTCAGTCTTTGCCACTCCATGGACTGTAGCCCACTGGGTTTCTCTATCCATGGCATTCTCCAGGTAAGAACACTGGAGTGGATTGCCCTGCCCTCCTCCAGGGGATCTTCCCGACGCGGGCATAGAAGCCCGGTCTCCTGCACTGCAGGCAGATTCTTTTCCGTCTGAGCCACCAGGGAAGTTTGTCACTAGGGTTGCATTACTTTGCCTAATCTGGTTCCCAGCCCCTTACCAGCTGTGTGACTTTGAATAAGTCACCTTCTGAGCCTCAGTACCACTGGCTGTCATTGCACGCCTCTGCTCCAGATGCCGTCAGCCCCTCTTTCTCCGTCAAGGTCTCCTGGCCGTGGAAATCCTCCAAGGCTGGTCCTGCCTTCAGTCTTCCGGGCCCGAGCTGGAGGAGGTCACGTCTTAGAGATGATGGGTCCAGCTTTAACTTTTCCTCCACAAACTTCCACGGACATGTAAGGGTGCAACTCTCCTAAGTTTCCCCAGGAGGCCCACTTCCCCAGCCCCTGAGACAGCATTTCTTATGATCCCTCTGGCGTTTCTCAAAACCTCTTTGAAAATATAGATGTCCACACCTTTACACCACCAGACGACCACCCACCTGACTCCTCCCAA